TGACATGATGCATGAAACATACTTGTCCCTATCAAATAAACGAATAAATAAAAAAATACATATTTAAAACATGCATTTGAAGAAATGATTGCTAGTGAGTTTGTTTGTGTCTTTCCAGCAAGTTTCACCCAACATGGCAATCAGTACATCCCTCTATGACTTTATAAATGGAGACAGTCAGTACAGTCAAGCAAACCACTGAACACAAATGTTTATCCAAGAAAAAAACATTTTAAGAACTGTCATGTCTGTTTAACCCTTGCAAAGTTGTAGGGTGATTCCTTGATGAGCCGCCTGGGTAAAACTTTGCTATAGTAGGCTGAATCTTTTTAAGGTAAATAGTCTAAAATGGAACATAGGCAAAGCTTTGACGCGATTCAAGAGCAGACACTGAAAAATAGATGTACAGACAGATGAGGATGAGGCAGGTCTATTTAAAGACTCTTTAGGTGAAACAGGGGCCCATGACTCCCTCATGGGATGTTTGTAAATTAAACAAAATTAAATTTTACTAGTGGATTTAAAACAAAACATCCATTTAACAGCTGAAAAAGCTAATGAATTATAGCAATATACATAATTGAGATCATTTTTGATACAAAATCAGCAAAGAATATTTATTTGAGCAGTTTGAATTTAGGAAATATATAATAAATGCAATGGCAATTCTGGTAAGAGATTAAGCAGAGACAAAGGTTTGGGGAAAAAGAAAGGATGAAGACAAAGCAGCCACCAAAACGTTAGAGAAAAATAGATTTTTACCACGTTAATAGCTGTAAATAAACAATCTCAGATGCCAGGTAGGCGATGACAGATGTCATGGGAGAGGTCTAACTTTAACTTAAGAAAGTTAAGATGACAAAAATTAACCAAGCCTGGTGACCCACACCTGACACGACCAGCACACTGTACTATCAAAGCAACTGGAAAATGCATAACATGACAAAATGTTGTCTAAAAAGGGCGGTAATATTGTACAATATCTAATAAAAACTATTAAAAAGCTGCCTCTCTGCTGCAGATCATTACTCTTGTAAAACTTGTGAAGTTTGCTTTCTCTCTAGTAAACATTTTTGAATTGCTCTCATAAGATAAAAAAGCCTCTATTTATTATAGTAGAACATTTAAAAAAATGTAGTCACAATGGTAACACTAGCAGAGGTTGATACATATGGCATTTACTGATTCAATTTTAATTTAGCTTTTCTCTTCATTTCCTCTTAAGACAAATGCTTAAGACATCAGCTTGGACGAGAGTGCCTGAGAAATTATTTTCAAATCATCCAAGAAGTTCTGGCTCATCCCCTCCATTACATTCAGAGTCATATTGATCCACTTCTTTAAAGTTTTGGTTGTGTGATTTGGTTCTGAAGGTAAATTTTCCCACAGCAGTCTACAGTAAATTGTTGTAACCTAATTTAAATTATCAAAGTTCAAAGTAGGTAACAAGTCAACCAAAAATGA